CATGTTCCTTTCTTTGATTGCTTTCAGCCTTAATCGCTTTTTGCATGAAACATTAAAAATTTTATCTCTTCGTTATATTGACAAGATGCATATATAAAAAATTTATTATTGTAAATTTACTACTTATTGTAAATTTATTTAGTATAAATCTTCTAGAATAAAATTGTCATTAAAATTGATCCATTATGGGATATTAAAAAAGAAAAAAATGTTATTATAAGTAAAAAATAATTTTCAAAAAATATAGCATATAGGTACATGTATTTATGATATACTGTATACAGTTTAGCTATATAATATTTTAGTATATGTATCTTTTGTCTATATATTTATTTATTTTTTTATACGTAATATACACAAAAAGTCCCACTTAATGCGATCATCCCTTGTTGCATTTAATAAATTGTACATTTTTTTTGAAAATCAATTATGTATTTTCATGAATTGATTTGTTATTCTATACATAAGAGTACTCAGAAATGATAATGGAATCGATGTCGATTCCACGTCAATTTGATGATTTCGATATTGAATCCATATCAATTTGATAATTTAACGACGTTTAATCAATTCCATTATTATTTTTGGCTGGGCATTAAGGTCAATTGTATGCATAAATACGATTGTCAAAAAATTAATAGTTTATTAAAAAATATTTATATTTTATATCAAAATATGCTGGAATAAAATACGAAATATCTCGTAAACCATTGATTTTTGAGATTCTTTAATATCTCTACTTTTCTATCTTTACTTTTACATTTAGAATAATTAGAAAAAATATTATACAAAAAAAATTATGTAATTCCATTTTAAAAATTGTCATAACTTCCAACTGATAATGAAAAATCTATTTTATCTTTATTTGTGCTTCGATAAGTCATTCAACCTTTGTCTAATACATATTTTTTTATTTAAAGATGCAAAAATAGTCATATAAAGCTGGCAGACGATTTTTTTTTCTGCTGGATTACTAGCTGAATTTGCGTACTTGCTATCGTATTAGCAGCAGTGCACAATACAGTAGTAAATACGTAAAAATGGTGTGCCGTCGAGTTTAAATGGAATAATCTGTGTATATATACATTTATTATACATATCTAGTATATATAATATATATATATGTGTTGCATATAAAATATCTGTATCTCTTTCTAATTATATGACGTAATATGAAAATTTTATAAATTCTTAGATAATTTATGAAATCATAATTAATCAATAAACGCAATTCAATATTTTACATATTACTCGCTTTTTCTAGGAAAAGCATATAAGGAAGACTATTGAAAAAAATTTATTAAAAGAAATCATAAGGATAACTTAAAAAATTAATATATACTTTCGATTTCAGGTAGATTTAATACGATCCAAGGAAAGCATCAGTCCTTTAAAAACAAATGGTACTACCTCAGCCGAAACTTCCGTTTAACAAGAGGATACCAAAAACAAATGCTAATGCAATATATTAGTTGTTTATTCAATCGTTTCAAAACTTTCATCTTTAGAGAGTTTTTACTCTGCAATGTCTTTCTGAATTGCCATTTAACCGACATAACATACATAAGATGAGAGTCATAGATCATGCCATTTAATTCTCATGAACTTGTACTCTTCTACAAATGTCCTATCTATTACGTTTAATTGAATAATATTTGTATTATATATATCAAACAATGCGCGTCGCTCTTTGCGAGTACATTACAATTTATACACAACTGTAAATGAGATCCTCATTCATAGTCTCAACATGTTTGTACATAAAATTCAATCATTCGAAGATTCGCCAATAGTATTCAATAAATTCAATTGTGATTTTATGAAAGTTTATTTCTCATCTTCGTTAAAGCAGTCGTATATATTATTATAAAACAGTCTATTTTAGTAATTATTTATGTAACAACCAATTCTATTTCTATTTCATTAATATTGCATGTGAATTGCAAAAATACGTGAAAGAAAATGAAAAATGAGAAAAAAAATGGAAAAAATTCCAAATAATTGGAAAAACGCATAATTAATAATAGCATATAAATGTTTTTACGTTTAATGTAACAATGGCAAATAAAATATGATAAAATCTAAAAAGATCTCTTATACTGCTATGCATCTTCTTTAGATAATATGGTCTAGAATTCTAGATTGACAACAATTATTGATCTATGAGTCAATAAGAATTATGCTAGAAAGTTGTGAAAAACGCACATTTTTCCAAATCGTGATATGATACTAAACGAATATATACGTGGCATTTATAAAACATGCGAATTGCAGAATAAAATTAGAATTTTCACAAAAAATCACTCTTTCTGGCGAATTATTCAAATTCCAATACATTCAAATATTCGAATGATTAATATCGATAATTTTCACTCTTATAAATATGAATGAAATAAATAATAGTATAATAATAGTATAATAATAGTAGCATAGTATTGCGCAGATGTCCAAATACCATAAGTCGAATAATCGAGTGTGTGTATGAAGTTGTAATTATTCGAATATTTGAATATTAATAACTATAATTTTAAGTTTAACATATATATCAAATTCTGTTTATATAATATTATATAAATCATAAAAATTAAGCAAGAATATTGTGTTATCACGCAATAATATTTGACCCTGCATATAACGATTAAGTAGTTCAAGTAACTTTGTAATGATACTGTGTATATATGCCAAAGAAACCCCACAATCTGTAATACGAATACATATACTTCTTTCGAGGGATATCTCTTACTCTTATTATTGCAAGCTGGTAGTATACTTTAAAAAGACAAAAATTTTAGATTATAATAGCTTTTATGAAAAAAATTATGCTTGAATATTTTTTATTCACTTTCTCTAATAATATTAATATAATACCTTGAGGACCGATAAGAATACTATTTGAAAAACAAAAAACAAGAAAAGAAATATGTATAAATTTGTTCTTTATCCCCAAAATACAGAATAATATTGACTTAAAAAAATATTATTATTTTGCAACATTTACAAGAGGCCTTTCAATGAAGAACTATGGAACAATCCTCTTCGAAACATTTATAAAAAATAATCTCTTGTCTTATAAAAATAATCGAAACTAACTTGAAAGAAATGCTTTCTTACTAATACTCTATTAGTTCAGATAAAATAGTTTATTCTCAAACATACTTATTAAAAAATACATAGCAGATTTCTGTTACTTTTTAAAATTTTAGTCTAGCCAAGATTTTGCGCGTTGAATTTCAAAATTTTCTATTATCATAACTTTTTCAATATTTGGGCATATCCAATTATGACAATATTAAAAAGATTCTAATTATAGTGAAATTAATTTCTTTATCACAAGATTTTTTACAAAAATTTTACATTATATATACTATTATAAAGAAATACATACAATGTATAGAATGATAAAAACAGTCCCTTGAAGGATATGTTATTGTTCGTAATTAAAGAAAAAAAATATCATCAATCTCTGTACATTCTACGATACATAATATTTATGATTATTTAACCATAAACTATTTCCTAAATAGCAATGAAATATTCTGTTAAATAAATGTAAACAGTTATTTGTTAATTAAGAATAAGTTTGTTATTTAAATTAATTAAATGAAAATTCTTAATGCTATTTCCTAAAAGAAATTATTTTTCAATGTAGTTTATAGTAAAAAATAATTTATTAGATTATAATCCATTTTTTATATTAAACTTACAAAACATAACAGAGATAAATAATTTTGAAGTTTTTCGATCGAATATTTGCATTAACAAGTAACTTGTACGAATCCAGAGTATATTAAATAAAACAAATCTTTTCTCAAACAATCTGTGATAGATAATTAAGGATTTCATAAAGGATTAAAGGATTAGTAAAAATTTGACTCCTCAATTCGGCTAATTATCAAAATGCAATCATTTTATCACGTAAATATTCATATAAAATTTTTAGAAAACTGATTAGGCAAAACATTCATGATATATATATGTTTTTATATATCCATTTTTTTGCTCACAGGTAGTTTGAGAAAATATATTTTAACGCCATGGAATAAAAAAGATTACGTTTTACAATATATGTATTTAACTCGTAGGCAGACACAAGGGAATTTAAACCAAGAATAGGAAATAAGGCGTTACTTGTAATGCCGTTATTCTTATCTTTATTTTTCTTATAATAACAATTTGATAATGATTTTACAATTTTTCATGATGGTAATGATAACGTCAAAGTTGGACAAATCATACGAAAAGTAACTCGTTACTAATGAATTGCGTGACGACATAAAGTAATGCATTACTTTTATGCATGTGAAGTGTGAAATAATAAGTTAATTGTTTATTAGAAAACGCATAATGGTAACAAGTTATTCTTCAAAAGTAACTTTCTTTAGCATTATCGTTACTGTCATGGAAAAGAAGTTGTAAAGTAAATACAAGATTATTGCTATAAAAAATAACGGTAATGCGAGAGAATCTACAATAAGAGTCGCAGACGATCATAGAATCTTAAGTCATAAGAAATTGATCGATCAGAGTCAAATGAGTAGAACAATCGACTATGATTAATCAATTTCCTGACTTCAAACTCCACAACCGTCTATGATTCTTATAGTAGAACCGGCGCATCACGTGTTACTTCCCATCCTTGGTTAAAACAATATGATACATTTATATCGTATTGGAAAATAATGTTGCGTATACATTTAAGTATTTTTATGTAAAGAATGCGTAAACCTACGTATATGAATTATTTAAAATCACACATAAAATATATTCATTAAGCGAAGATTAAACAATATTAACTCTCTATGAAATAATATTTGGAGTCCTGAATATTGTATCATAATGAGATAAATACGAAAGAGAAGGGAAGGCAAACCGCAATCTTAGGTGCAAAAATAAACGTGCAAATAATAAAATTCATGAATATAATGTATAATATAAGAGTAATCTAATAAAAAATGTATGATATGTGTGCTAATGCGTTTCAACGGTGATCTTCAATAAGTTAGGAGAAATATATCTCTCCCAATGATCTTATAAGATTACGTTTCATGCGTTACATCGCAGCGAAATTCATGGTGGTCATTCGATTTGGTGGATGGGCTATACTCGCCGATGTAGTATTAAATGGTTGTGATTAGGTAGAAAAGACTGCGTCTCGGAAATTAGTTTCCGAGTTGACAAGGAAAGTAGCTAATGCCTGTCATTATGTCTTTAATCATGCTGTGTTACTTTAAATAAATAATATGCAATTAAAACTAAAAGATTTACTGTTTCCCATTACAAAATACATACATCATAAAATGTGTACCTATATAGGATGTCCCAGAATAATTATCAAATATTTTATATGCTGATATAGAAAAGACCAAATTGAATCAAAAAGTCCTCTACTATTTTACAATTTTCACAATAGTTAATAAGATATTAATTATTAAAAATCAAATAATTTTTCTCAATAATTTTTTATTTAAGCAAAATTAATATTATTAATTGATTCTATCGAGTCTTAATCAATTTAATTGTTAAATAAATTAATTAACAATATTAATTCAGATACAATATATATATTTACATTTTTTGTTTTCTAATTTTACAAATCAAAACTGATTGTATGTATTAAGAAGTTACAATAAGAAATTTCAGAACTGCAATTCTATGTGTTTATTAATTGCATTTAATTGGATTTTAAATTCCAATTTAAGAAGTTTCGATATTACTCATTATATATTCTTGAAACTTCCACGAGTCCTTCCTATACAAAGATTATGCGTATCGCGAGTTTCTACTCCATGTCCAGATCCATTCTTAGAATAAGCCAACGTTTCGCGAACCTTACAGTTCACTTCATCAGTATCAGGCTGCTCCTCGCCCTGATGGACACGGAAGAAACTCGCAAAACGCATAATACTCATTATATTTTTTCTTATCTTTAATTTATTCTGCTCCTTATTTTAAATTAATAATAAATAAATTAATAATAAATAAATAAATTATTAACTTCTCCCTGTATTGTTACATTGCTGTCTGATCGATGAACGCGAGCTTACCATTTGAAATTGCACAAGTATTATCAAATATGTCATCACTGTACCAGTTAGCTAAGAAAAATAATCAGAACTATTAATTAAAAAAATTTAATTTATATTACTTATAGGACATTTTAAATATTCTCACCGAATGCAGAAAAGTATTATCGAGCATAAAGTATCCGTTAGCTGTAAACTGTATTTTGCGATGTAGCAATTGAAGCGAAAATTTCTTGAGCTGTAACATATCTATGATAAATGTCGATACGACGAATATCGTTTCTGAGAAAGTTTTATCTAATCTTTGTTTTTTACCTCTGCTTTTTTGTCTTTCCCGATTGCACAGTTTAAAAGATCATGTACTATATTGCCCGTTTTCTCAATCTATACAAAAAAATTTATAAATTTGTAATTGAAACATTTTGTAAAATATTTTGTAAAATATTTAGGTTTTTATTTACTGATAAAAATATTTTGTTTCATCGATTAAAACGATCTGATTAAAATGCAATCTTATTATATTGATTATTTTACCTCGATTAAAATTTTGGTAATTTTATTGGTAAGGAGAAAGATGGGATAAATCAGAAATATTAGCCAGACGATGGTATTACTAAGAGTGTCATATTCTAAGATATCATCAGTTATCATCACAATCCAAAAAAGAAAGTAACCATTATATGTTAGTGTAAGAAAGAGAAAAATGATGCCGAATAATACTGGAAGTGAATAAAAACTCGACACATCCTCAGAGATTTCACAGAGATGACAATGCACATCTCGCAGTTGCAAAAGTTGATGGACGATCGAATTGTTGACTATGATACGACGTGTTTGATAGAGAGACTGCAGATCAGGTGTATTGATTCCAATGAGACTTTGTATCGCTCGATTAACATCAGCAAAATCTGTCTGAATGACCGTCACCAACAGGAAGTATTGTATCAGTAGCCAACCCATGTGAAATGTCGGCAGAATGTCTGTTAGCCATGAGATTGGGCCCGTACCCAAGGCCAGATTATCATTGAACAGGAGAAGTATCAGAAGGCAAATCTTCAAGGTGCAAACGATGATCATAGTACAGAAGATACGTTGTCGTCGGAGCGGATGATATAGATCATACAAATGATCTATCTCGTGTTCAATGGTGATTAATCGATTGGCGATCCGCACAAGGGATTTCTGTTTGATGCAGTAGCTAATCAAAATCGCGCAGATCATCAAGGTACCAAGTATAGTTTGAAGAACCGAAATGGCTGTAGTCAAACTTGTTTTGATCTTGTATTTCCAAGTAAATTTCAATGGTATAGACACATAGTTCGAAGCAATCATTAAGCTACTCAGCACAACATTGTAAACGATTCCTAATTTGGAATATTGAAAAGTGTATGACATTCTCTTTTTGTATACGATGATGCGGTGGGCGAATGTAGCGAGACCGATAAGCTTGAAGAACATTATCAATATTTTAAACGTCCAAAAATCGTGATGTATCTCTGATTTTATTTTGTTCACTTTCTGTTCACTATTTTTTTCTGCAATTGAATTTTCATTATTTACATTTCTAATGGAATTGGAAATTTTATTGACGTTTATGAAAGTTGGATTCTTAATCGAAGACATTTTTGACAACGACTATCTTCTTCCTTAATCTTTTAAATCAAAATTAATATCTACTTCTATTCTTTATTAGGTCAATTTATCCATATTGCCCTGTATTTCACGATTTACAAATATTTTCTTTAAGAAACATTCAGTTCAATCTTCTTAATTTTTTTTTCAAGACATTTGTATATACAGATTTTTTTTAATTTGTATACTTTAAGTCTTCTTTACTAAAACCTTTTACACATATATCATTCATAAATTGATAATTTAAAAGATATCCGTTTTATTTTATCGATCTGTCTAATTGCTCTGAATCAAAATTAATTTCTAATTGACGTTGTGCTTTATAATTCTTACAAAGTAGCACTGAGTATGTAGCGATGCTTGCGCAAATACCTTTCTCGCAAACATCATGTTTGCAAAACATTATTAAATATTAAATTTGTGAAAATTATAAACGCGTGATAAGGAATATAAAGTCGATAATTTTGCTCTGTTTCAGTTGATACGGATCCTGTGTTGGAAATAACCGATTGTTATGATATTATTGTTAGAATGATATTCACTGAAATATTTATCTGTATATATGACATGATATCTATATACAATAATAAGTTCTTCGTAATTTTTCCAATTGTAATTGTTATAGCGCGAATTTATGACTCAAAATAATAGTTCTGCATAATTGCATTGTAATATAATCATTGTCAATATTATATAATTACCAATGTCAACATTATTATTATCATTTGGAGCTTATGGATTATGTAAAATTTTAGGATTATTTTAAATTAACTTCAGCCTCTTTAGCAAACTTCTTTTAAAATAATGAGAGTATAAATTTTTTTCACAGTTTGCACATAAAATATTTCTTTTACATTAAAAAGAACTTTATGTTACTTCAAGTTCATCTAAAATCGTATCTGTATAAACATATAGATTTAAATCTCTCTCTCTCTCTCTCTCTCTCTCTCTCTCTCTCTCTCTCTCTCTCTCTCTATATA